GACACCTTTGCCCATGAGCCTTAAGATCGTTGTGACAGTATTGTTTATCGACTGAAACTGCTGCAGAAGCCTCCACTTGTCCCTTCAGCTCTTGCTGAAGTCCCGCCGAGGATAAACAAATTGTATTAAAATCCCATCCACTACCCACAGATGCCTTTCGATCATGACACTTGCCACTTTCTCGCTGGCTACGTAGGAGCGGAGAGGCATCAATTTTGTCATTTCGACTAATTGGAGGCAAAGTATCACCATGACTTCCATCGAGGTCCGTGTAATCAAACCCGTCTACGATACGGTCATTGTCAGCGACATTTCTTTGATTTCGTGTACATCCATTGTCATGCTGATCAATACGCTGTTTTTCTAATCGATTTCGATCCAAAAGCTCTAAAAGATGGGACACGTGCATGGCAGAGAGAATAAAGGGGTGTTGTAATAACTCGGACGCTGTTGGTCTGTCCTGTGGAGCCTTTTGAAGGCAACACGATACAAAGTCAACAAATCGAGGCGAAAAAGATCCATTCAATACGGGAGGATCCATCGTTGGAATCATGAACAGCACTTTCATAGGATGAATGCTACGTATTCGACACATAACATCAAGAAGACCTTAGAATAGCGTCAGACCTTCATTAAAGCAGATAAATACCTACTCAGCAAGCGGTGGAGCACCTTCTGCCATCTCGATTGCTGTAATTCCTAATGACCAGATATCTGCCTTAAAATCATATTGGGACTCTTGAATGACTTCAGGTGCCATCCAGAACGGGGTTCCTACTGCCGTATTGCGCTTTGTCATCGTCTCTGTAATTTGTCCAGTCACTCCAAAATCCGCCAGTTTCACGCGACCATCACCGCTCAGCAAGATATTTGCAGCTTTAACGTCGCGATGAATTTTTTTCTCGGAGTGTAAATACTCCAGTCCTTTTAAAAGCTCGCGAAGAATGATGGCAATGAAAGCCTCATCCAACGGACCACTACGCATAATATCAAGCACGGAACCGCCCGAAAGAAACTCCATAATAATCCTATCGAAGCCATACTGAGTTAATGACATAGGCAATGCATCGAGCAGTACTTTACCGACCAGAGTTTTGTCCCAGCAATAAATGATCCCGAATATGTCGTCAACTGTTCGCACGAGCATTGAGATAGCACACGTATTTCCTACTCCTCGCCAATAGAAACATTACCGTTTACACTTATTGATAAGACAAGGAGTAGACTGCACCTGCCGCACGTCTTCGATCTCATCAGCCGCAGACTCCAGGTCAATAATCTTCACAGCAACTACTTCCTCCGTTTGAACATCAACTCCTTTAAAGACTTCTCCAAAGGCACCACCACCAACGCGCTCTACAAGCTCATACTGCACCGTCAGGTCCAGGTTGCCGCTCATGTTCACAACACCTTAACTAAATAGCTGCATACCGATATAATACCGGTAATAGTACTCAATAAAAACAATGTGTTTCAGTACTGCACTTTTATTTAGATTAATCCAATTTTTGACGCCATTTGCCGATAATGCTCTTCCAGATGTCGGTATGCGGCCTCGAGAAATGCTTTGCGGCGGTCGGCGCTGCCCATACCGTCCAGTTCCTCTATGTGTTGACGAAACAACCGCCTTTTGATCTCAAGCCGAAACTTTTTGATCTGCGCCTCGTCCTTAGGATTCAAATGCGCAAGTTTGCATGTCTCGTAGCAAGTCTGCACCTGTTTGTGTGTGAGTTTAAGTTTTTCCTGCACTGTGTAAATATCAGTGCTTGTAAGGGCTTCGGTGCCGCACCCGGTGCCACTAGCATCTGAGCTTGCTTCTGGAGACAACGAGAAAAATCCATTTTCGACGCAATTCTTGAGATCGACCAAGTCGCGTAACTAAATAGAGTCAAGAGTTTATGTGAGCACAAATACAATAGTAGGCATATCGAAGAAATCGCACGTTGGCAAAGGCTGGGACGGGGTCTTCAACAGTAAGCTCGTATACGTTTTCATTTGCCACGGCACGTGCATGTATAGAGTGTACTAGACGCTCAGCATGGCCTACGTTGTCAAATCTATCAGACAAAATATTCGTGAATGAGTGCAAATAGTCCACCTTGGCGTTGAAAAGGTGGAAAGATTAGGGCTTGACAAACGCGGTGAGTCTCGTTCTGTTCCGGCTTGTTGAATGCAGTCTTCCGTCTCAATGGATTGATAAATTTGAAAACAGTGATAAATCCAACTGGATGGAAACAATTTTCCACCCGCTCGTAGGTCAAATATATTACCCATCGCGGATCTTTGACATCTACAGCATCGGCACCTAATAAACACGGTAAATTTAGAGTAATGAACGGTCAAAACCTTGGACGCCTGACCTTCAATAAACCAAAGCGACAACGTTTGAAGGTTTGCAAGAAGTCTCTGAGCAGCTTCATTGTCCTCCAAAATGCACTCGTAGATCTCAAAGCGTCGTTCTACTGACTGAATGGCACCATCTGCTGGTCTTTTGAAGCTATATGCCTTGATGCATTTTCCCGGAGGCCCCGTGAAGCTAGCCGTTGCTTCACGCAGCATAGCTACAAACTTCTCTTTGTCTTGAATACATGCTTTTGGTAGCGATGATTTCATTTTTGCTGCAACATCAATGGCTCTTCAGATGGAAATGGTCAGCACACTTTCAGTCTACTTCGACAGAAACTTACGTATTCTCTTTATCGTCAAACTTGACATCTAATAGCGCACTAAAGTCATAACCATTGTAAATGATTGCATTTTTAAGGCCTGTATAGCCGTCGATGGTCTCGTTGGTACCGAACGCATGGTAAGTATATGCAGGAGAGAACCATTCGAGAGTTCGCGCTTCAACTTGATCGGCATCAGTTGCTTGTCGTCAAATGGTCAAAATGTGACCCCGAACGATTAAGTAGATGTTATTACTTACCAATAGCCAGCAATGTGGCATCATTGGAGGATACCGAGCTTGCAAAGCGAACACGTTTCAGTGCAGGCGTCTGAATATCCTCCGTTTCACATCGCCTGGTTTCCATTCCGCTTGTATAATGTATTACTACTACGTAAAATCATCAAGGAGCATCATGAATCTGTAAATAGTGTGATTACTGTGAAGTAGCATATTTAGATTTCTGTGGCTGCGCTCCGCTGCTCATTTGCAAATATACCCGTTTGTACAATAGTGCAAGATGTAGATTGTTTTCTCGAGTAATGTGTGTCCGTCGAATTTATAGTATGTTTGCCAACTCAACATTGGGCAAGCAGAAGTCGTACGACGATATAGCATTTGACAAGATCATGGCGACTTAAAACCAAGCGCAGACTCACTCGTATCTGTTGCTTGACCTGTCTCAACGCTACATTCCACAACAATCTGTTATAGTCAGATAGAGTAAATGCGGTGCCCTGCAACAGCATCTGTTCCCGTAAGGTCGTCGTCGACTACCTGTAACCCTTGCATATTATCGCCTATAATTTAACTTCGAGGGATCACTCAGAGTTTTTCTCCACAAATTTGTTGTAGTACAAAATTTGTGGGTCTCATCTGTTTTAGCCGTTTACCAAAACGACTTTCTTTACTTGAACTGTCAATCACTAGTTCTCATGGGGATGATTTGCGCCAAAGGGAACGACGACAGCAATAAGTTTACTAGCACACCACGTTGTGTGGCAGACTGGGCTCACACACAAGAACAGGTTACTTATGCTGCCTACTTATTGGTTGCGCTTGTGATTTTCTCGTTGATCTGGACAGTGGTCTCACGACGTCAGCACAAATCGTTGCGCAAAGGCGAGCATGGTTTCTCTCTTAAATGTCGTCGATGGGCGCGCACTTCTCGCACAGCTGCAATCATTGTAAGGCATCCTGTATACCGAATTGTGCTAGCTCAAATTACTAAGCTTCTGATGTAGAATCGACCCATTCAACTGCTAGTGTCTTTTGGCATCCTAGGCCTCACTATGTCTAGACTCAACTCGTATGAAGTTACCGAGTGGTCCTACTACACAGTACTTGGGCTTTATGTCATTGCATTCCTGGACGATGTCGTGCGTTTCCTTGCTTCACGTTATAAGCTTCTCTTTTGCTTTTCGCCCTTTACGCTACTGGAACTGCTATGTCTCGCGTCAAATTTTGGCGTAGGATTTGGCCCATTAAAAATAATTAAAGGAGTGCGAACGCGCACATATTTGGATTTTTCGGTCATGCGGCCAATATTTATTTTAAGAAGCTACTTGGAGATGGAGAAGCACGTGCCTAGGTCGACCAAAGGCTGGATGATGGTCCGTCTGGGTATTAAAATTTTGTTGATGATCATGGTTGGCGCATCCATCATGTTTTACTTCGAGACACTTGGCGAAATGCCATTTTTTTTAAATAATGGATTTGCTCATCTTTATAGTTGCAGCGATGGATCTGTCACAAGATATGAGTCTTCTGATTGCTCTGAGACAACTTGGTCCATAATGTTTGCTTTCTACTTCACTGTTGTGGTAGGTTGGATAATAATTATCTGTATATTCATCTATTTTCTTACTTCGTTCATTCTTACACCTTTTCTAGACTTTGGGTACGGTTGGTTATGGTGACAATGCACCTCAAACAGTGCCTAGCCGGCTTTTGGCCATCATGTTTATCGTAATGGGTATCATTTTATTCTCGATGGAAATTGAGAATTTAGTCAATCTTTATAAATTACGTCTAATTGGTAACCCGCCTTATACGCCTAAGCCAGATTCCACGCATGTACTCATTATGGGTAACCCCTCATTTAGCCAGCTCTCCACCATACTACGAGAGCTTTTCCACGTTGATCATTTAATCGATACTGATACGGAGCGACTTGAAGCTGTCATACTAGGCGACCGGAAGGCAAAATTTACAAATCCCCTCATCGCAAAATTGAAAGCGGACCCCGTTTTCACATCCCGTGTAACCTATATTGCCGGCGATGCCACCCGTAATGAAGACTTGGACAGATCTTTGGCGGGTGAAGCACGAGCAGTCTTTGTGTTTCCAGACAAACTTACGGGCGATGCTGTGACGGAAGATGCGATGAATATTATGCGTGTACTTGCGGCTAAACGTTACGTGGGGTAATACACTTCTTTTCGCGGCAAAATGCGGCCGCATTCCTTCGTAATAGCTAACTAATTCCCATATGTAGACCTTCTGTTCGCTTTTTAGTGATGGTGCTGCGGGTCGAAAGTGCCCGACACATGGTAGCTGCTGGCGTCCATCCGGACGACATCATCTGCGAAAATGTTATTAAAATGGGTTCGCTGGCTCAAAGTGTTGTATCGAATGGTATCTCCACAATGCTGTCAAATTTGGGATCAAGTTTTTCTGCTGACATCTATGAAGCCTCGAGAAAAAGGTTTCTCTCGGAGGTCGCAGTAAAAGGCAACGAAAAATGTATTGCTTCAACACCCGACGTGACCGATAGTATATTGTCTGAACGAGACTGGATCAACGAGTATTACGCAGGTGCAGCAAAGGAAATGTATCTCATACGCCTTTCAAAGGTACGAGCGTATACTTATGGTATCTTGATTGCTGAAACTTACATTTCTCGGTGGTTAGAGATATGTTGGACTGTCATTTTCTCGGACGGCTTCACAGATATTTCGAGAAACAGCAGGTACGGTCCTGCTTATTGGAGTAGAGATTTCTTTACTGGAGGAGGAGTCAAGCTCAAACAACAATGAGTCGCGCGTGTTGCTAAATCCCGGGGAAAGTTTGCTTATGAATGAGTGGGTTCAGTGCTACTGCATTGCTGATGACCTCGATCAAGTGTACAACTCCAAAATTTGTGCGGAGGATGTTAGTCTGGAAGAAATGCGGCGACCGTGCAGCATTCCTGCATTTATGAGTTCGAATGAAGACGTTTTTCAGCCGATTACTCCAGCCAATCGAAGCGACGATGATTTTTCATGCGACGAAGTACAAAGTTTATCGGTGTACACAGCGTGTAAGTCTCCTCACTCCGATTTAATGAAACAGCGCAGTAGGGTACGTATAGTTTCAAATGAAAAAAATCATTCAGAACTGAATTATGGTATGACTATTCACACGCAGCTGCCATTTCCAAGACGAAAATCACTTGTACTGGTGCGGCCATGTTAGAGTATCCCTGCAACACTGCGTTATGTGACCCTTTCGTTCATTCTTTAGGACCGCTCACTTGAAAATATTGCTCACATGTACAAGAATTCCGAACGAGCTATGACAAGTGACAATCCCTATGAGAGTTCTTACCTCCAAGCAAAAAGTTGCAATGATGACCCTATGCGGCACTCAATACCAGCTCGTGCCTTAAAGCCCCCGCCCCTTAGCATTCTCTTAAACCCTCAACACGTTGTTATTTGCAGCTTTCTCGGTGAGACATCGTTGGAAAGCCTGCAATGGTTCATTCTACCACTTCGTAGCCCACACGCGGCAAGGCATCCCCCGATTACGATATTGAATAACGCAGAGCCGTCAGATATCTTTACAAGAACTCTTTCTGCATTTCGAGACGTGGTAAGCTCTGGGTTTTTGTTATGATATAGCGTCTGATGCCAAAAAATTGTTTGATTTAGTATTACGTGCGCGGTAGTCCCCTTGTTCATCTGGATTTACAACGCGCTGGAGCCAAGGCTGCAGCTGCGGTCGTGGTGCTTGGAAAACGAACAAGAAATACTACAAATTCTAAATCCGTTTTAGACGCAGAGCTGGAGGTGGGAATCGCTGATGCTGAGGCTATATTCGCTACAATGCTGGTGGAGCTCAAGATGGACTTATCGAAGATTTTTACGATTACTGAACTTGCTGATGAAGCTAACTCGAAGTTTATGGGCATGTCTCTTTACCTGAATAAGCTACATACTGCAATGGATGGAACAGACGACACAAAAGCCGGAAGCTCGATTGACTTTTCAAGTATACAAGTGCTCAAGTTGTGGGACCATATCTTGCAGCACGATGCCTTGGAGCAGAAGTTCGAGAAAGAGATTTTTGCCCTGCCGCTCTACATGTCGGGGCGGATCCTACATCCCGAGCTATGTGAAAATATGGTTGTGCAGGCATTTTTTAGTCCATCCATTCACAAAATTGTTCGGCAGCTGGTTGGAGGCCCTCGATGTACTGGAGTAATACATACCTTCTCTGTTCCTCAAGCACTTAGAGTAAGTGCCACGTTACGGGTTCAGTCTTTTGTTGCTTACTTTTTGCTTTTGTGCTACCATTCTGTGATCGTTCAGGAGAACTGCACGTATGCTGAGATATTCCACTCATTCGCTACATCATATTTTTCAGGCATATGTATCGGCATCTACCGCATGCCAAGTCAAGCATCAAGGATGGCAGACCAATCGAAATTGCCAATTATTATCACGACACCAAAAGCGAGTCTTGAAATTTTCTGCAGTGATCGCCTTTTCGTTTTGATCGGAATTCACACTCTTGAACGAGCGGCCGCCATGATTCAGCAGCAATATCGAAAATATAGATGCTCTTTTGACCCGTCATTCGCCAGCATGAGTGCCAAGAGAAGGCAAGAAATATAGAACAAAATTTGTCGACAGGCTAGTATTTCACTACGAATGTATGCAAAAGTGGTTGTCTATTTTTGTAATTTTTTTTTAATATTCTCTGCTTCCCTTTTTCCGCTTTCTTCTCTCTATATGATCAGACGCACACTGCTTTCTCTTGTTGTTGCTCTTCGAAGAAATACCATCTCTGTGAACGCATTTGTCATTCACGCCAAGTATGTTGCCCCCGTGGCTACTACTTTTTGACTCCTTGTGCTTCTTTTTCTTCTTACCCAGCAGTTCTACCAGCGATGGCGTCAGAAGAAGGTAAAGCTTTCTGAGGATATCCGCCGTGATCGGTTCAATAAGAACACTCTTGTCTAGAACTTCTGCTTCAGCCGCATTATTACTGCTATCTTTTGTTTCATCGAGCACTACACGATCTTCCGGCACAAAAATGAAAGTCAGTGAGTCCCAAATTGGGAAAGATCCCTTTGATAGCACCTTCTTGTTCGAGTAACCAGGGTACAAGCATCGATCAAAGACGACGGATTTCTGATGACGAAGCTTGTTGATCTTAGCGATGTTTTCGATGCCCCACTGACCAAAAGGCTTTTTAGTTTTATGTGTCACGTGCACTTCACCTGTAGGCGTCAGAATCTGCGCTACGTTGGCGAAAAAGTCGTTTAAAAGTTTCTTATTTAAATCCATCTCTTGGTTCTGCCCATCTTCTCCGCGAAGTGCTCGAACGCATGGGAAATTCCATATGACGCGATCAAAGCAGCCAAGCATCTTCATCTGCTTACTATTGGTGGCATCCACCTCGTGCAGCACAGTTACGTGTTTTAAAGAATTTAGCTTCTCTAATATCTTTTCACTGTCCGGATACGTCTCCAGCACAGTCTTTTTGCTTTCATGCGAAGTAGCAACAATATGTACGTCTGAATCCGGACCCAGTGCGATCGCCAGAGCCAGCGAAAATGAAAAATTTCCATCGCCTAAGGTCAGTATGTGTTTTATCTGAGCAGCATCGTACAGCCCAATGCGATGTTGATCAGATTTTGCAAAAAGGCCAGACACTGGCACTTCTTGGCTATCAACCGATGGTACCAGGCGCGGACACATCTCTGGCCTCACGTTGGGCAGCGTCCCCGGGCGCTTATAGAGAACAATTTTGTAGCAGCAGGCAATGCACCTCGTATAGGCGCATTGTAATGTGGCGCGGTGGGCGTGCAGCAAATGCAGGTCTCGTATCGGAGCGATGTTCATTTTGAAAGGCATTTCATAAAGTTGTGTGGTACACATCAGTTTGCGCTCTAAGGTTTCACCTCATAAATCATCCTCGCAATCAAGAAGGCGCATCAAGAGGACAGCATTTATAAGTCGCCGACATGGACCAGCTGATCCCCATCATCAACAAGTTGCAAGACGTCTTCAGTGCTATTGGCCAGTCGCCAATTAATCTGCCCCAAATTGTGGTCATTGGTAGTCAAAGCAGCGGCAAGTCATCGGTGCTTGAAAATATTGTCGGTAAAGACTTTCTACCACGGGGCTCGGGTATCGTTACGAGGCGTCCCCTTGTTCTACAGCTGTACAACATACCAAGCACATCTTCTGTGGAGGGGGGAGATGCGGCCGAGGAGTGGGGCGAATTTCTTCACATGCCCGGCCAGAAGTTTACCGACTTTAACGAAATCCGACGCGAGATCGAAAAGGAGACCGATCGCATTACTGGAAAAAATAAAGGCATTAGCAACAAGACAATCAATCTCAAAATTTTCTCGCCCCACGTGCTAAATTTAACGCTTGTAGACCTTCCGGGTATCACGAAAGTGCCTGTCGGAGACCAGCCTGTGAACATCGAGGAACAGATTCGAGACATGTGCACTGAATTCATTTCGAATCCTAATTCAATCATTTTAGCTGTCACGTCGGCCAACACAGACTTGGCTAATAGCGATGCGCTCAAGATGGCCCGCGAAATTGATCCAGATGGACAGCGCACCATTGGTGTGCTAACCAAATTGGACTTAATGGACGATGGTACGGACGCCTTGGACATGCTGCAGGGACGTGTCATTCCACTCAAGAAAGGATACGTGGGCGTTGTGAATCGTAGCCAGGCTGATATCAATTCGCAAGTGTCAATTCGTGACTCACTTTCAAAGGAGCAAAATTTCTTCAAGAATCATCCCGCCTACCGAGCTATTTCTTCTAGGATGGGTACGCAATACTTGTCTAAGACACTAAACACGATTTTGATGCACCACATCCGCGATTGCTTGCCGGAAATCAAATCCAAAATTAGCAGTATGATTTCGGATCTTGACCAAGAACTCGGTGAAATGGGATCCCCCACAGTACAAATGACGTCTACTGAAATGGGCGGCTGTTTGCTTAACCTTTTATCACATTTCTCGAGCAACTTTACGAACTCACTAGATGGACGCAACCACCAACTAGTGGAAATGGACGAACTCTATGGTGGTGCTCGTATAAATTACATTTTCAACGAAATCTTTTCGAAGTCCCTACGGGAAGTCAATCCGTTTGATGGGCTTAGCGATGAGGACATCCGTATTACCATTCGTAACGCCAATGGCCCGCGTCAGTCGCTATTTGTTCCCGAAGTATCTTTTGAACTGCTTGCAAAGCGTCAGATTAGCCGCTTGGAGCAGCCTGGACTACAGTGCGTGGATCTTGTGTTTGATGAGCTGCAACGTGTGACGTCGCAATGTGAGACGATCGAACTGACGCGTTTCCCTGAGCTGCGCGATCGTGTAATGGAAGTGGTTAATGGTATGCTACGTGCTTCTTTAATTCCAACCCAAGCTATGATTCAGAACCTTATAAGGATTGAGCTGGCTTATGTGAACACTAATCATCCGGATTTCATTGGGGGCAGCCGAGCAGTGGCTCAACTGATGGAGAAAATGCAGCGCGAAACGATGGCGCCTGTCGGAGGTCCCAGCCATAATATGATCAATCAGGATCCTCGACGCGCAGGGCAGGCGCCAAAGCAAAATACGGTTCTTGCGAGCCACACAGCAGTAGCGGATGAGAAGCAAGAGGGAAATGGTCTGATGTCAATTTTTGGTGTTGGACGCAAGAAGAGTGGGGCTGATGTTCCTGCGAGCTCAAAGGCTGCAGTTGTCAAACTTCCTCAAGTTCCAGTAAATATGCGACAAGGCGACGATCCAACAGACCGGGAACGCATAGAAACGGAAATAATTAAGAGTTTGCTTGCGTCTTACTTCGACATTGTGCGGAAAAATTTTTTGGATCTTGTGCCAAAGGCCATAATGTGCTTTATGGTGGTGCACTCAAAAGAAAACATACAAAACGAATTAGTCTCATCGTTGTACCGTGAAGATAAACTTACGGAGCTGTTGGCCGAGACTGGTGATATTGCGGCGCGGCGTTCAAATTGCGACGAGATGCGAACGCTTTTGCAGCGCGCCTTAGAGATTGTAAACGAAGTTCGTGACTTCAATACATTTAAGTAAAGCAACAGCTTCATCGTTACGAGGCTTTTGAGTATTCAATCGGTCATATGAAGTTAAGTGTCTGGTGCCGATTTGATCTCATTGCACCGATGACGGGCAGTAGCTATCCAATCGACAGCAAAAATTAATACACTATTTGTTTACTTGATAATATTGATGTAGATCAGATGAATTCAAAGTAGAACTGTTCGAAGAAAAATTAATAATTCTTCTTCATGACAATCTATCTGAGCATAGTGATTATAGTCAACCGGAATGTATTTTTCTATTTGGAGTATTTATTGACTCGAATAAACATGTGCTTGTCTTCAAATTAGACAATAGCTCGCGAGTGCGTAATCTGACCGACGGTCAACCATCTGATGCATCTGGTTCTGCTTCTTGCATAATGGTGCCACTAATCAATTCTCTGTAGCCTACTCGTCTCGAAGCTTGATCTCCAAACGATCCTCGTACTTTAATTTTTTTTGCTCTTGCTTCTCTCCAGCACTCAGCGCGGTCGCACCTGCCAGCGCAAATACAGTGGATGCTTGTAACACAACACGAGCCTGCATAAACTTGTTGCCTAGTTTAGAATAGCCTCGCTGAAATGTCACCAGCCCGCCCAGCAGCACAGCTGTGGTCAATGTACACCCCAGAGGTACAATAGGGTCCTCCTTTATGCGTGTCCACAAAGAATTCCTACCGCCATTTCTTCCGTCTTCCATCCAGCCGAAGTCTCCTACTGCCGATACGCGCGACGTTTTGACGGCGTCTCGGTCAGAACGCATAAGGTCGATGAATTTTGCTCCGTATTTGAAATGGGTTGATAGATATGCCAGCAATTGATTCGAACACAAATAAGCATAAACAGTCAATAATCGCTTGCGCAATCATAAATCAGAGTTGTCGCCAAGAAGAAAAGGTGCAACTGCAGGCTTTCTGTCAATGCATAGCTGCCCGCTATACAACCGCAGCCAACTCGGAGAATCTTACTGACATAAATGTCAACAAAAACGATGTATAGATTTAAGATGCTCAAAGTCAAGGTGGCGTACGCGGTGACAAAAATTTGAAAAAAAACAGTGCGAGCCCATCCTAGACAAGCTTGTTTGCAAATTTTTTCTGATAACATGTTAAGCGATCTCAGGTACTTAAGTCAAAATAATGAATCAAGACGTCGCTAGTCTCAGATCGATAGAGTCAGTATAAACAGACGACCACAGCGCGAATCGGTCCGATGATTATTCTAAGACTCAGGTGAGCGCAATGTCCCGCAGATGGTCGCTCTACTAGTAGATAAGCTGACATGCATGACAAAGCTGATCTTTTAGTACTATTTTTCTAAATCTGCCATGTTGTTTTTGTCTACTTAAATCCAGGACTATTAAATGCGTTGGCATTTCATAGGAAAGCAAGGTTCTGGTTTATTATAGAATGTGGCGATCGAAATTGGTATATCGAATACGCCCTTCTTCCTGACATGTAAATATATATACATTACATTTAGACTATGTGCTGCTGCTTTACACCAGGACATAATTAAAGGCTGATAATTGCGTATCGACGTGAAAGGTTCAGTTGAAAGTTTGTCTATACTATATTTTTTAGACGTGATGACTTCCCAATTGTAATAATGAACACAAGACAATATCAACTGTAATTTACAGTATAATGATACGTGAAAAAATCTTATGATCAAAGATCAAAAGATCGAAAGATCATAAGATCGATTGGGGGACGTGACTCCTGGTGAGGAGCTTGGTGAGCCCCAAACACCGAGAACCCGCTTCATTATTTTGACCCTTGTAAGACTCGGACTCTCACTCTACAGATTGAAGCCACCTCTCCAAAACCAGTGAGCCAAATTTCATGTCGAAATTGGATGGGTAAAGTCTTGCTAAAAAGCAAATTTGGAGCGGAACTCTTGAAACTCACTCAGAAGGATTGCCCTACAATAAGTTGCCTTGAACATTCCTCATACTCTGTCGCATGCGAGTGGTCATATGGGACACACTGAGGCAAGCGCTAGCGTCAATTTGGGTGTCAGATAGAAGAAAAGCGGTCTGGTTGAGCAGGGACAAAATAAAGTGGTGGCTTCACATAAGTCTCTTGGGCATCTGCGGAGTGAACAAGGTGGTGGTAGGCGGACAGTGCGCGCCAAATGTCTTCGCGATGACTTGAGAAGCATGGAGCCGTTTTCGTCGCCATTCTGCGATCTTGCCGCTGCTAATTACGTTGTCACGGTTGCTATTCGGGTGCATCTTTGATAAAAGTGTTGTCTCAGCTGGTCGGGTACCGGTGTGTCGCTCTGCCTTAATCAGACACCACCAATGTCCTTAGCCAGACCATCATTCCAGCTATGCTCTCCTCCGTCCCCATTTCGGGTGCAGCCGGATACAATTCAGTCAGCAGAGTAGAGTCAGACTTCTAGACGGTGGCTCGGGGTGAGTGGGTCTGGGCGGCGGGAGTCCTGAAATGTCGTCTTTATGTGCTGAGGTCGCTTGTGCAGGAGTTGGAAAATTTGAAAGTGGAGCGAGCACTTCCATTGACCCGCAAAGAAATTTATTCTTATTTTTGCTGAGTGATTTTGAGAGTGCAGGTTCCCGCAGATTGACAAACTAACCAAAGGTCGGCTGAGTGCTCAGCTTTTGTAACCCCTTGAACAGTTGAATATCTGCGTCCTCCGCGAGTAGGCGTCGTTGGATGTACTGCATGTGAGCGAAAAAAGTCAAGAATATCACCTGGATCGCTGCGAGCGCCGGTGTGGGTTGTCGTCCGTTGAATAGGCACCGAATGTGATCGGTGTGATGGGGATATACGTGCCCGAGTGAGAAAGGGATCGCACAATCTTGCGCGACCGTACATATGTGTGGATTATGCAGTTAGTGTAATAACACAGTGGTGTGGCTACACCGTACCAAAAAGCCACCACGTGGCAGGATTGGCAGTAGTAATGCAAGCTAATTAGGTTTTGCTGGTATTACTATATTAATTAGGAAAACCTAGAGTTTTAGATATCGGCAGCTCTGCCGCAACTAAAACAATTAAATACAGTTTCGTTTTTCAACAGAATTGTTCGTTTGCCTTGGTAAGGATTTAGTACGCAGAAGCAGCCAATTGCGATCCACTACTCTCGTACTGGTTCTCAAAATGAGCGTAAGGTCGGTGACCTTAGCTTAGCTTAGCTTCCTCCAAGCAAAGAGCTTCGGCAGCCCCTTTGCAGTTGGACCAAATATGGTGAAGTTCCACCGCGCGAAGAACGTGTTACACATCGCCGTTAACATCTTCGCAAGCTTCCCAGTTGTCTCGTACGCGCATCATCTAAGTCAGAGTATTGTCGAGCCATGTTGAAAGTTCAACGAATAACAGTGATACCAGCTCGAGCTCCTGCACCAGAGCTGCGATGGGAGCGTGCAGTCGAAGAACAGATGTACTTGTTTTTTCGATGGCGTCGTATCCGTCGCGAGTACAGTACCGAATGCGCGGGTTTGCCGTCCTTAGGAACCAAAATGTCGAATGCACCAGTATCAGAAAGAACGACAGTGAAGCCGCAAGTCTTCGAAGACAGGAAGCAGGATCTTGCGTAAATGCTTGCCGAAGATGACAAACGACTTGATTTGCGCTAATGTCGACTATCTGCGACTGAGTTGTCCTTGGACGTGGCTTCACCGGTGGCCATCGGCACGGAGAAGTGCAGATCACGGAATCTCCGGAAGCAAGCACGTCTTCACGCCACTTGTAATGTTGAAGTGAGGAAGCAGACGCATTTGCTCGCTATTCGGCGGCGATAGCACAAGCTGCAACGCGCCAAGTGGATTCATAATATTTGTAGCTACCTTGTACAGCTATGGCTACCACTTTGTCCTTAGTCCAAGTGTCACACTCGCGAGAGTGTACTCGATGTGTCGTTCTGCGAAGCCATTCTGTATCGGCCACGCGCTCGCCTCGCGCACGAAGTCTGCAAGCAATCTCAGCCCGAAGACTCTGGCCACATGCAGTCTGAAGCTTTGCTGTGATTAAGACACCATGCCAGTTTATCGGCGGTGTGCTGCACTGGTGAGGTCTGCTCGAAGTGCAGATCGGCAGATCGGCTGTCGGAGACCATGCGTTGCACGCTCGTCCACTGGAAGGTCATGCCACCATGTCGACGTTAGACTCGACTTGAGCAAGTCGTCATGGCGAAGCAAAAAAAAGATCGTGAGGGAGTCAAGCGCGTTGCATTGCCCAGTGCATGGAAGAATTAGTTTAAGCAGCTCCGTGCTCGCTGTCGTCCAATTCCGCACACCTCGACGCGAAAGGCTCAGTGATTTGTGGATGGCATGGATATCTCGTCTTGAAGACACGATGCCGGGTGGTTCACTACATTCATCATGTTGAACGCTATATAACTAAGCCTGCGATACTTGCTGTTAAATCTGACAAGGCAACAACACCAAGAAGAAACTCATTCGCTTCCGACACAGCTACTTCAAATTGGACTTCATAGTATACAAAATTGCATAATGGTGGCCTGTGGATAGCGTGTGGGGGGATTTCTCAGCAAACGTGCCGAGTGACGACCACTTGAATTGTGTAATATTCTCTAGAATAAGAATACTGTAACGGGGTTACACGTACCCGTGTATGAAACGGCGGATGGTGTGACCGTACATAGGTGTGGATTACATAAGTTGGTGTAATATAGAG